ATTTGGTGTTGATACTCCTTATGCTTGGGCCGCATTTTATAGGTATGCTCTTATAGACAATTTCATTGCGAACACAGTGATACCAAATTTAAATACGTGCGCCTTCAATTATTGTCAGGACAGTCAAAAGAGTGTACACTTTTTCGGTCTTACCGCGTAGGCGCGCGAAGTGCCGAAAGCATCTGGGGTATTTTTTTTTTTTTTGAGCGCCGAGAGCGCGAAAGTGTTATTAAGCATGTGCTATAATTAAAAAACTTCCAAAGTAATGACAGTAATGCCAAAATGAATTCATCTTTTCACTTTTTGAAAGGTGGAGGTGTAACATTTTCTGAAAACCTTTGTGCTTGATATACCATGGCACTGACATAAATGGCAACTGTCGACTTTTAAATTTTAACACATGATTTCAAAAAGCATTTCATAGCAACAGATAGTGCCAGTCGATGCGCTATATGAAGTTATTGGGCCCCCACCACAATAGCTGCAAACTATTATGATCTTAAAAAATGAAATTTAATACAGAATATGAACAGATTCCCAGTACGTATTAAATTACTTTAACCACTCAACTACTTTCCTTTATAGTATATTTACGAGTGTCAAATTAATGTTTGGAGTGTCAAACCCAACACAATATGGCTGAGGCCCCACTATTTAAACTTCTTTTCGTATTCTATGAAATATCACAGGTATTGTTAATGCTTGTAACGTTTATTACAAAAGATAGACATACATTTGATGCTATTTTTCATATTAAAATCTAATTTGAGGCCCGAAAAATATATCTATAAAATCTATAAACAGGTTAGAACCATACAATTGCAAGTATGCCTTTTTCACCAGTAATCAACTGAATGCCACAGAAAATGGAATCTTTACTTTAGCTACAGAAAACGGAGCAAAGCCAAGGGGGGATGACTGGAATAAACAGTTTCCAACCTGACTCTTCTCGCACATAAACATGTCTTCTTGACCTCATTTCAAATTATATAGAGTACTGAAAGCTCATTTTCCATAGCAAATATACTAAGGAACTCATTTTACAACTAGAACGCAAACTAGGACCCCTCATTCAGTTTCAAAACACGAGAATTATTGACTGAACATTTCCCCACTATCAAGCACACAGGACTCTTTAAAGCTATCTTAACTTCTTTAAAACCCCAATATGACCCATCTCACATGCAGATCCTGTTCTATGACTCGCCCTTCATGTCAATGTACCCCACAGTATCATGCAAATTCAAGATAAGGCTTACTACACCTATATATCCAACTTGGTCTTTGTAAGGAATCTTGACCCCCCACTGGGGTTATCCACCTCTAACCATTACAGAAAATGGAGCTGTGCCCAAGGGCTCCCTATACTATTCAGTCATATCCTCATTAAAGTACTCCAAAAACTTCTATATTCGCTTTCAACTGTGTTTCTTGGTTTGAATCTATTGAACATTCACCCTCTGATCCATTCAAAAGTAAGGGCCCCCAAATTGATACCGTAGTACTCTCGTAACACCCCCGGGCCAAATCGTGAATTTTTGCTCATGCCATTAAAATACTCAAAAAACGTTTATATGCCTTTCACCAGTGTATTTTTTGGTTTCCAACTATTGAACATTCATCCTTGGTACCTCTCATAAGTAGAGACCCCCTTCTTGAGGCCCTAGACTCATCTTAAAGCAAAGCGACGAATCGTGCAAGAAAACAGGTTAGGATAGGGCACCAGTTCCTCAGGTATACCCTGGGTGGTGGTTCCCCCGGGACCCCAGGGGGGAATGGACCACCCCACCCCGCCAGCCAGCCAGGAGCGCGCTGACTGTGCCCTAACCTAACCACCGAAAATAAGCGGGTTGGTCGATCTGGCCCCCGAGAGTCAAGTCGGCATGGAAGTGCCCAACCGTTTCTGAAAAATTTTACCCCAATTTGTCTCCTTTTACACTACTGGCACCATATGCATGTATTAGGCTGAGGAAGGGTGGTGAGGCAGGTGTTTTTTTTCAGGGATATTCCTGTGCGGGCCCTAAGCCTCTGGCTGGTCCACAAAGTGTTGGAGGCAGGTGGTGACAGTGGTGTACCATATTCATGTATAAGGTTGTGGAAGGGTGGTTGGGCAGTTGGTGACAGTAGCAGATGTGTACCATATGCATGTATAAGTTGTGGGGATACTGGTGAAAGGAAACGGGGCCCACAGGAGGGGTAATGGTCAAAGTACAATATAAGCGAGAATGAGAGTGCTCTAGTGACCACGCAAAAACAGTAGCGATCACGGCGATCCTGTAGAGACAGGATTCAGGTCTCAACATACAGGCTTAGGGTAGGAGTCGAACGAAAGGCACCAGAGCCGAGAGGCGTAGCCCAGTATGGTGAAGAGAATCATGACTACAAAGAGTTGAGGGAAAGGCAGACGAGTAAGCAGCACAGCCATAATCGAGTTTAAACAGCACATGAGAGGAGCCAGCGCCTATTGCCTTTCTAGTAATTATGGGACAAGACCTTAAGTTAATTCCTTAGAGCAATCAACTCGGAGGTAACAGATATGCCCGAAACGCTTTGCGTAATAGTGGCTTTAGGCATTGTATGTACTAGCTCTTATCTATAAAGCCAACAAACTTTGTAAAATCTCTTTATGTATGTACCTTTGCCTAAATAAAAATTATTATTATTATTATTATTATTATATGAAATGACCAAGACAGACAAGTGTCAAAGATTAATCCCCAGAAGTTTAGCAGAATCGTTATACAAAAGATTACTATAAAGCGACAGTGGGGGTCGAAAAACGACCTGCTTCCAGGAAAAGGTCATAACACAAGTATTAGTTGTAGAGAACTCGAAGCCATAATTGGTGGCCCAGGACGACACAGCATCAATCGCAAGTTGGAAGCCGCCGTTGGGAGAAAGGCGAGTCATCACCATGACAGTTGATGGTAAGAGCGTCAACATAGAGGGCTGAGAAAATGCCAGAGCTTAAGGAGGAATGATGACCATTAAAGGAAGCCAGGAAAAAGAGTAGTGCTCGTAACACTACCTTGGGGTATACCTTTGTATTGCCGAAAAGAGGCAGAGAGACAGTGATACCAAGCCTCACTCTAAAAGGAACAACCAGAGAGAAAGCTTTGGAGGAAGAGAGGGAGATTACCACGAAGGCCAAATGAACGGAGTTGGGAGAGCATATTGTATCTCCAAGTGGTGTCTTATGCGTTTCCAAGTCAAAAAGGACACCAACAACGGAGGTCTTCGCCACAAAGGCAGTACGAATATAGACCTCAAAGTTCACCAAGACATTAGTTGTGCTGCAACACTTACGAAAGCCAAATTGAGAAGGGGAGAGGTGGTAATAGTGTTCCAAGAACCAAATCAGATGGAGATTGACTATACGCTCAAAGAAATTGAAGATGCAACTTGTGAGGGCAATTGGGCGGAAGGCATTAGAGGATGACCCTAGAGAACTAGGTTTCCGAATGGGAAGACCTCCTCAAGGTAGTTCTCAGGGACTGACGACTCCCAAACCCGGTTAGAAATATTTAGTAAATACTGAAACATGCATGGATAGAGATAGCGAAGCATCTCATGATGAATATGATCTGAGCCCGCTGCCGTAGAACTGCAGAGGGCTAGGGCAGATTGAAATTCTGAGAGAGAAGGAGAAATTATCGTAATAGGGAAGCTAGAGATGCGTGCGAAAATCTAAGGATAAAGATTCAAGAGGATGTTTACGAGTAAGGAAAGAAGGAGGATGAAAACCAAAACTAACAGTCAAAAAGTGCGAACCCATTTTGGTCGCGACCGACACCGGATCCGCCACATTAAAATTACAGAGTGGAAAAACTGGCGTTTCATCTGTTGGATATCTTTGGGATTTTCTTCCAGAACAGAATAGTGTCAGTTGTAATGGTGGAAATGAAAGTCTCCAACTCTCACGCGGCCCTACAGATGGGTCGTAGGATGGCCTTACGGTGCACCGTACTCACCATCCGAAACAAAATGAAAACATCAGGCGACCGTCGGCGACAGTGTTTCTTCCAGGCTGGACGCTTACAGCAGACAGCCCGAGCACAGTCTTCATTCCACCAGGGAACGCACATCCGCCTTGGGATGTAGAACAAAAAACTGAGCATATAGCAGACTATATTGCACCATTTAGTTTAATATGGTGTCAAGAAAAAGAAGGAGGGCTTGAGGGAGAGGAAGATCAGAGAAGTCGGAAAGAGTACCAAGCAGAGGTTCCAGTCAGCCTTGGTAAACTGCAACCTAAGGAAGGAGAGGGGAGGGTGAAAAGAGAAGGTGACAAGGATAGAGAAATGGTCACTGTTATGGAGATCATTCTCTAACACCCCCATGTAAAGTCTAAATAAAGAGAAAATGAGCAAAGACACAGATCAAGACAAGAGAGAAACGAGTGCAGGAGTCAACTGAGTGGGTACACCAGAACTTAGAAGGGATATAGAAGAAGAGAGGAAAAATCGTTCAAGAAGGCGGCCCTGGGTGTTTGTCATAATTTCGCGCCAGAGGGTATGCCGACAGTAAAATCACCCAACAGGAGCACAGGGTCGGGTAAGGAGTCCTACAGGTGTTTAAGATCAGGAACAGAGAGTGGGACATTTAGGGGGAGATGAATGGAACAGACTGTATACCATTTACAAAGATACGGGCCGCAAAATACTGAATGGACTATTGAAAAAGTAGGGGGAACGACGTGAATATCATAACGGATTAAGAGCGCACTAGAGTAAGTAGATTTTTCCTCCCCAGCATAAGCCGGAGGGGAAGAGAGAAAGGAATATCAACGGAAGCGACCAGGATGAGAGCCAAGCATCGGCTCCTGGAAACAAACACAAAGCGGTGAAAACTGTGCGATCGGAAGTTGGAGTTCATGGACGTTTGCATAAAAACCACAAATACTTCATTGAAGAACACAGACAAAAAAGAGAGAGAGAGCAGAAACCGAGATAACAAGGGCAAAGACGGACACAGTAGACTAAGTAAGATGAGGATCAGGATCAGTGAAATTGGGGTTTCGGGGCATAGGCAAAGATGATGGAGGCAAGGGAGCGGGAGGACAGACGAGAGGCGGATTGACAGTCCAATGCGGGAGGAGGCATCTGAAAGGGGCAGTCAAGAGAACCGTGGGCAGGAACAGGAAAGGGCTCCGGATCAAGGGAAACATCTGAGAGAGAATCAAGGACCAAGGGAATCTCAATAACAGTAACTGGAGACTCCTCCACTGAAAGGGGAGAGAAAGCAGAGATAGTGTCTGAGTCGGAAGATGAGGAATATATTGAATCCTTGCCTGCTGGGGACGAAGGAGGAGAAGAGCCTAGCTTGTGTTTCTAACAGTAAGAGATAGACGTACCATCAGCAATGTACTGGGCGACAGCCTTTAAGGTCTCAACAGGAGAACGGGAAAGGTTAACATGAAGAATATTGGGAGAAGGATGGACAATGACCGGACAGACTAGCAGTGAGGAGGGCTATTTGATCTATTCAATTTGTATGGTATACTACGTTTCTGTGCTTTGCTTAGAATTTTTTAAATAAAGTATATTTTGAATTAATATCGAAATAACTTTTCACATCACCCATCGTTGGGTTCATATCATGCTCCAAGACCGGCCCACCCATGCCCAGACCTTTCCAATCTATTTCAACCAAAATATTTCTTAGGCCATTAAAATCAGCTTTTCGAAAATCTGGCACTTTAACTGAATTTTCTCCAGCAAATCTATGTCATTCTATGCTAAATCTGATTTCTTTGTGATCACTGTTCCCTTGCTCACTTTTTATCGATGTCATTAATTTGTGTTTCCCTATTAATCAACACTAAATCTAAAATATTATTTTCCCACGTTGGTTCCTTAATGTGTTTCTTAAGAGAGCAGTCATCAGTCAATTCTAAAAAATCTTCAGCTTCATTATTCCCTGTTCTCTTAATAATAATAATAATAATAATAATAATTTTTATTTAGGCAAAGGTACATACATAAAGAGATTTTACAAAGTTTGTTGGCTTTATAGATAAAAGCTAATCAGTTTTATTCCACTAAAATTAATGCCACCTATGACACAAATACTGTTTGACCTAGATGCTCTAGATATTTCATCCCATAGATGCTGTACTTCCATTCTGCCAAAGTTCGATGGTCTGTATATAACTCCTATTATAATATTTCTCGGATTTTCGTTTAATTCTAGCAAAATAGTTTTTGTGTTGTGCTCAGTTTTAATTCCCTCTTTGAGACTACCTTTCAGATTTTCCATAACTTTTCCCTACTCCCCCTCCTCGTCTAATATCTGTGTGAAATAGTTTAAATCTGTTTATTTGATATTCAGCTTATAGTTCTTTTTTTTTACATTCTTCCATGTTTCGGTAAGTGCAATAATATCTATTGTTTCTGTGCAAACAAGAGCATTTAAATTGTTTATTTTGTTTCTTGGACTCCTACTGTTCGTGTAATATACCCTATGTGTATTGTTATTTTGAGGCCCTTCTCTTTCCTTGTTCATTTTGCCAATTTGTTTTCCCCACAAACACATTTTTATTACCTCCCCTCTCCATATCAATTCCCATACCACTATCTACTAACAGTTTAAACCCAAACAAACCCATCCAACCACAGGTTCCAACGAGTTGGCAACAACCCCAGCCCTAAATAGACGCACCCCATCCCGAGCATACATGTTATTTCTTCCAAAGAAGTGCTCCAAGGTGTCAATGAAAGATATTGCATTTGATTTGCAATATTTGTCCAGTCGGGATTTGGCACCATGTGCTCTCGACAACCATTCATTACCAATTCTCTTTCTTGGAAGAATGCTACATATGATCCTCCCTTGCTCGTAACTAATTATGTGGCTGTCTTAAACCTCTGTATCAGTGCTTCACTCCTAACTCGTCCTACGTCATTTCCACCGGCACTGATACAAATAATGGGTTTGTTCCCATTTCCAGCCAAAATATCATTCACGTTGTCAACAAAATCACCAATTCCAGCTCCCGGATAGCAAACCCTTAAACTGTTCCCCTTATCTCTGGCCAAGATAGATTCTCAATTCTATCCTGGAGGATAAAATGGCCTTGGGTCTCGAGGATATTTTTAATATCCTCGTTCAAGTTTTTCAGTTCCCTATCATCACTCACAACATGGTGTACGAGAATAACTGTGCCAATGCTGGCATTTAACTGGGCATTTTTGGCGATTCGAACAGGGGTCTCCCTAATGCAGGACAACGAATCCAAGTGGTCAGCCGCCTCCTGAGAAGGGGCTGTAACAAGAGGACCAGTATTAGTGAGGCTAACGTATCCACCAAATGAGCAAAGTGCTTACGGAGGAATAAATCATCAGGACGTGTAGGATCAACATGATTGAGATCAAAACACTTAGTCCACCTAGCATGACAAAAATCTTCTAGATCAGATTAGGAAGGAATCCTGATCCGACCCCCCCACCCCCTGTAGGAGGGGGGGGAGAGATAAAAGGTTCAGTTGTGGCGAGAGATGGAGCTACGCCAGGGGTTGAGGTGGCAACTGCAGAGATTGGAGGGGAGTAGAGTGTCAGTCAGGAGAGTCAGAGAAGCAACTGGGTCCGAGCCCAATGTAGTGGGGTCTACAGATCTCGGTCTTCCATCACAGTCCAACTCGTGGACCTGGTCGCCCACCCCACGAGTCTGACAAACGCAAGTTTTATTTGATATTGGCATAGAAACGAACAGGTATAAAATTTCGTCCATGAATAAGCCCCTCCCACATACCCACCATGGAGCCATAATTAGAGGATAGGACAGCTGAAAAGACAGGGCCCCCAAGGTTGTGCATCATGGATATACGCCCCGCAATCGTCCCCTTAAGAGCCGTCAGTCCGTCGAGATCGTGTTCAGCAATGTCGGCAAAGTTTGACAATGACATCGTCCCCTCGCTCGACAACAACAGGTACCACAGTTCTACAGGTGAGTGCGCGCCTCCCAAACACCCAGCGTCAAAACAGAGATATAGAAAAAGAGTGCTCAAGAATGGCAAAAATTCAATAGGAAGTATCAGGAAATATAAAAAAAAAAATCAGGAAAACACAACCAGCAAAATTAGTGACAACTGCAGCAGGTGCTCTATGGGACTTCTGTCTTCTGTCTTTATGCTCCACAAGGCTTCAAAAGGAACAGAATACAAGCTGTCCCATAGAGCACCACACTCCAACAGCAGCCTATTAAGCCCCCACACCACGGCAATGGGCTGGAAAGAATTGGGTGCTCTTTACAAAAGAGCAAAGCTCAAGCTAATGGGTGCTCAGAATATTAGGTTTTCCACTTAAGAGAACCATGTTTAATCTGACATGTCAACGGCGCCAGTTGCGAATTTAATAATCGCCAATTTAGGCCCGGGTTAGACAACTACAGTGGTGGGGGGGGGGGGGGGTTGCCACCATCCTTTCCTAGTTTGATAGCAAACCCAGTGAGGAATCTATGGTCGAGTCGTCTCGCATACTCGCAAACTTTAGTACAATAGTCCAAGTAAGTAAGTAAGTAATTATCAAAAGAAGGCACCAAACCGGGAAGGCTATGTAGCACCATCAAATACGCAAAATAATCAGAGGGCGCTAAATATCACCAAGGATGCCAATACGAGAACAAAAACGCATAAGGCGAACGATATCAAAAGTATCCGAGTCACCAAGAATTCTATCGAGGGACAGGTGACCACGAGGGGCGGTCGGAAAGCAAGACACACGCTCGTCCTGGAAGTCAGGACATTCAAGAAGGACATGCACGACCGTAAGAGGGACAATGCAACTAGGACAATAAGGAGCAGGGCGGCGCTCCATCAAGTGACCATGGGTTAAGCGAGTATGGCCAATACGCAACCTCGCCAGAGCTGTTTCCCACCGCCGGTTACGGTGGAAGGAGGACGGCCACGAGGAAACACAACATTTAAGAGTACGTAGCTTGTTACCAGTAACAGACAACCAAGAAGCCTGCCAACGGGTAAGGACTGAGGAATGGATAACCGGGTAAAAGTCGGAATACGGAATGCCTTTGCGAGAGATGGGACAAGAGCGGACAGCTTCCTTGGCAGCAGCATCCGCACGCTCATTTAAAGACACACCAATATGGCTGGGAACCCAACAAAACTCAACCGACTTAAATTTACTGTGAACGAGAAACAGCCAATGCTGGATCTCGACAACTACTGGATGAACCGGATTAAAGGACCCGAGAGCCATGAGGGCACTACGAGAGTCAACAACAACCACAAAGGAAGACTGACAACGAGAAAGCAGGAGACGAAGAGCATAGAGAATAGCATAAAGTTCCGCTGTAAAGATGCTAGTCTCCGGAGGCAAGCGACACATATAAGTGCGATCAGGAAAAACAACAGAGTAGCCAACACCGTCCGCTGACTTAGACCCATCGGTGAAGACAGAAACGGAGCGGAAGTGAGAAGAAAAGTGCTCGAGGAAAAGGCGTTTTAGAACCGTAGGAGGGGTAAAAGCTTTAGTGATACGGGTCAAGGAAGTACAAAACCGCGAAAGAGGGACCCTCCACGGGGGCAAAGAAGGAACAACACGAGGAGAAACATCAGAAATACGAACGGAAAGAGAATCCTGTAGGCGAGATAACCGGACTGAAAGAGGGAGGTGGTGAAGAGGAACAGGAACCGCAGGAGGGGTAAAAGTTAAAGCACGACAGAGGCGAGAGGAAGGATGTTGCAAGGACCGCGCAAGATAGCGAAGACAGTAGCGATCACGGCGGTCCTGGAGAGACAGGAAGCCAGTGTCAACATACAAGCTAAGGATGGGAGTCGAACGAAAGGCACCAGAACTGAGGCGCAACCCAGTATGGTGCAAAGCATCAAGACGGCGAAGAGTAGAAGGAGAAGCAGACGAGTAAGCAGGGCAACCATAATCGAGCTTAGACAGGACGAGAGAGGAATGTAAAGCAAGGAGTGCGCGCCTATCTGCCCCCCCAAGAAGTATGGGACAAGACCCGAAGGAGGGTAAGGGCCTTAGAGCACTCAACACGGAGGTAAGAGATATGGGGAGACCAAGACAAACGAGTGTCAAGGAATAACCCCAAAAGCTTCGCGGAATCTTTGTATTCAAGGGGATGACCATAAAGTGACAAAGAGGGACGAAGAACAACCCGTTTCCGCGTAAAAGTCATGGCACAAGTCTTAGAAGTAGAGAACTTGAAGCCATGACCTGTGGCCCAAGACGACACGGCATCAATTGCAAGTTGAAGCCGGCGTTGAAGGAGAGGCGAATCATCACCCTGACAACAAAGGGTAAGATCATCGACATAGAGAGCGGAGAAGACACCAGAAGGAAGAGAGGAAAGAAGACCATTGAGAGCAACCAGAAAAATAGTGCTCAGAACACTACCCAGGGGCACACCTTCGTATTGCTGAAAAGAGGGAGAGAGAGCGGTACCAAGGCGCACCCGAAAGGAACGACGAGAGAGGAAGCTGCGGAGAAAGAGAGGGAGATGACCACGAAGGCCAAAAGAATGAAGTTGAGATAGGATATGATAACGCCAAGTGGTGTCGTAAGCCTTTTCTAGGTCAAAAAGGACGGCAACAACGGAGGTCTTCGCAGCAAAAGCAGTACGGATATAGACCTCCAAGTTCACCAGGACATCTGTCGTGCTGCGGCACTTGCGGAAACCAAATTGAGAAGGGGAGAGGAGGTGATGGTGTTCCAGGAACCACATCAGACGAACGTTAACCATACGTTCAAAGAGTTTGCAGATACAACTTGTGAGAGCAAAAGGGCGAAAGTCCTTAGGGGAAGTACCCAGAGACCCCGGTTTGCGAACAGGGAGGACAACGGCATCGAGCCAGTCCTCAGGGACTGACGACGACTCCCAGATCCGATTATACAGACTCAGTAAATACTGAGACGTGCTCGGAGGGAGATGGCGAAGCATCTCATAATGAATACCAACGGAGCCCGCCGCCGTAGAACCGCAGAGGGCCAGGGCAGAACGAAGTTCAGAGAGAGAGAAGGGATCATTATAGGGAAGCTGAAGATGAGTGCAGAAATCTAAAGGACGAGACTCAAGGACAGGTTTACGAAGAAGGAAAGATTGGGGAAGATAAAGACCAGAGCTAACAGAAGAAAAGTGGGAACCCAGTTCGGAAGCGACCTGCAACGGGTCCGCCACAAGAGTATCATGGAGGTGAAGGACCGGGGAAACATCGGGAACGAACTTACCCGCTATCTTGCGGATACGCTTCCAGATCTGGGCCAGAGGGGTTTCGGACGTAATTGTTGAGACATAAGATGCCCAACATTCACGTTTAGCCGTACGGATGGCCCTACGGGCCACCGCACTCGCTTTCCGAAAGAAAAGAAAAGAATCGGTCGTCTGCCTACGGCAGTGCCTCTTCCAGGCTGCACGCTTACAGCGGACAGCCCGAGCACAGTCCGCATTCCACCAGGGAACGCACTTCCGTGGACCCCGAGAGGAAGAGCGAGGAATAGAGCGGAGGGCAGCGTTGAAGACAGTGTCATGAAAAAGGAGGAGAGCGCGAGAGAGGGGCAGAAGGGAGAGGTCAGAGAGAGTAGCACTGAGGGAAAATAGGGTCTAGTCCGCCTTAGCAAACTGCCACCTAGGGAAAGAGAGGGAAGGGCGAAAAGAGAAAAAGGAAACAAGGATGGGGAAATGATCACTTCCACGGAGGTCATCAAGAACCTGCCACGTGAAATCTAAGTAAAGAGAAGAAGAGCAGAGAGAAAGATCAAGACAAGAAAGGGAGCGAGTCCGAGAGTCCAAATGAGTGGGCTCACCAGAATTCAGAAGAGACAGGGAAGAAGAGAGGAGAAACGGCTCAAGGAGGCGACCCCGGGTATTCGTCAGAACGTCACCCCAAAGAGAATGACGACAATTGAAGTCACCCAGCAGGAGCACAGGCTCCGGCAAGGAATCTAGGTGGTGTTTCAAATCAGGAAGAGAGAGCGGAACACTCGGGGGGAGATAAATGGAACAAACTGTGTACCATTTCCCCACAAAGATACGAGCAGCAGAACAATGGAGAGGCGAAGGAAAAAGTAAAGGAACAAAGGGAACATCAGCCCGAATCAAGAGAGCAGAAGAATTAGAAGCCCCAGCAATGGCTGGGGGGGGGAGAGAAAGGAATAGCCACGAAAACGACCAGGACGAGCACCAAGCATTGGCTCCTGGAGACAGACACAAAGGGGCGAAAACCGCGAAATCAGAAGTTGGAGTTCGAGGAAATTGGCGTAATAACCTCGAACGTTCCATTGAAGAATGGACAACGACGAGAAGAGAAAGGACAAAAACAGAGAACAAGGAAGAAACAAAGGCGAAAGAGCAACAGAGCACGTTAAAGAATATCAGGGTCGGGATCAGGGTCAGCAAAGTCAGGGTTAGGGGGCATGGGTAAACTGAGCAAAGACGGAGGGAAGGAAACGGGAGAACAGATCAGAGGTGGGCGGGCAGGGTCCGGAGGAGGAGGAGGAAGAGGAGGAGACAACGGAGAGGAGCAGTCAAGGACAGCAGCAGGAAGAGGGGGAGTAGAAAGAGGGGAGCGCACCCCAGCAAGAGCAGCAACTGAAAGGGAAGCAGGGGCCAAAGAAACCTCCATAGCAGGAACAGGGGGTGCAAGCACCGAAACGGGAGGGGAAGGAGCAACAGAGCCAGGAGGAGGAGCTGAGGAAGAAAGCGAAGCCTTCTTACCCGCCAGGGAAGAGGAAGGAGAGGAGCCAGGCTTACGCTTCTGACTTAGAGACCGGTGTCCCAGCAACTACGTACCGGGCAACGGATTCCAGTGTCTCAACAGGAGAAGCCGAACGAGAGCACACACGACGTCCGTTAGGAGAGCGATGGACATCCGCCTGCACCGACAGGCGGTGGGGAGAGCCGATAGATGGAGGAAGAGGATGGGAAGGAGGATCGGAGGGGGACGAGGAAGAAGACACAGAAGACACGACAGACCGGGTAGAAGGAAGGGGAACCCCAGACAGAGGACCAGGAGGAGGATCCTTCGGGAGAGAACCCAAAGGGACAGAGGAGGGGGCAGGCCACCGTCATGGACCCATACAGCATACCGTACTCCATCTTGCTCCTGTACTCTTGATGGAGCTCTTCCAGGGTGAAAAGCATGCCCAAACCTCCGGACTCCATCACACCTCTGAAGGTGTCGTAGTAGGAGGAGAGGTAGTTCCGCCAGTTGGTCTTCCTGTTGTCGCCGTGAAGACTGGTGTAGAGGAGGTAGTTTATGTCGGTGGCTGGGGAAGCCAGACGGTTCAGCTGGAGGTCAAGGAGCATCACTTCAACCGGCTCTCCATCTTTATTGTACCTGGAATTATGAAGTAAAACTAGCTAGTGACAGTAGAACAAGTTTGTATACCTCATTGTAAGAATATGTTCGGAACCATGCCGTAAAATGAAGTGCATTAAAGTCTCTTACAAGTTTAATTCTCAAAATTTAAAGTCAAAATACATCTACAAAGTGTAGGATGAACTAAAACTTTGCCTACCTGAATTGTAGGTTGTTAACCCAGCAGTCGCCATGACATATTACATCAAACTTAGTTTGTCTGACCAGAAAGCTCTTTGCAAGATCAAGGGGCTTGTTCTTGTGCATATCCAACCATCGCCTCGCCACCTCGCAGCCGCCATCTTTGGCCAAAAAGGCCTCCGCCTCCACTAGACTTACCGAGCACTTAGAATTCTGCTCCGCCTCTTCGTCTTCCTTTAAAGTGGTCCAGTCTTCATTAATGTACTTGAAAGCGAGAGCCAGGCCTTTCTCGCTGTCAGGTTCTTCATGCAAGATTTGCATCTTTGCTTTCAGCAGCAGAGAGGCAGCGTGGAGTCGGGCCAGCTCCTGCAGGACCAGTTTTGTATGGGCCTCATCGAGGCCCACCTTGCAGTCTTTAAACACTTCAAAGCCCAGATCTCTGAGGTCCTCTAAGAAGATCATCTCTTTGTTCTCTTCTAATGATGTGTAGAACCACTTTGGCATTCTCAAGTTATGGTGCCCCAAGGAAGTCAGCTCCGAGTTGAGTTTCGGAAGGATTTCCTGAAAAAATTCATTTTCTTTCTTCATCATTTTTAAAGGAAACTCTGCCACTTGGGCCATTTTAGATCTTGGAGGGCATATTTTTACCACATAAGACACTTTGCTTGTCTCCCCCATCAAGGAGAACCGGACTTTGACGCTGGTAACTGAAGAAGAAAAGTTGTCGCCCTTCTCAGCAAGGTCTTTAATTTGCCAGAAGTTTAGTACGGCCTCGCTGCCCTTGTCCGCCTTCAGGGCCTCCTTCACATGATCCTCCCTGATGTTGTACTGCGGTTTGGCAGCGCCCTCGCCTCCTGCATAAGCCACTGTCAAACATACATCGTTAATATTTTAGCACCAAGTTTTCGCGATCTTTCGGCTTCTGTGCGATAATCATTACACATTGAAATCACCCTTCATTAAGAAGTATTACATAAAGTCAATAGCACAACTATTATTTCATGATGTACTACGAGGGTAGCTGGTAAAGGTTATGGATCCTAATCCCGCCCTCGTCCTTCCCATCTCCCTTTTCCTCTAACAGGCAGACTCATATTGATATACATGCAAAAGCAACCATCTTTTCCAGCCTTTCCACCGATGAACCCCTTATCTATTACCTCTCCCAAATTTGCTACCCACCTTATTTTTTAATTAAATTACCGAAACGACTGTATGGGGTCTATAATGCGATTAATATATTAGAGGCAACTTTCGTATCACCATGAAAATCTAAAGTACGTTTCAAACAAATTTAAGCAATATTAAAATTATGGTAAAGTCAATTAAATTTTTAGTTTAAAAATAAAATAACATTAAATTTATATATAGAACTAACTGTACCCGGCCACGCGTTCCTGAGGCATGCTCTTCTAAGCCACAGCAACCCTCCCCTGTCCCCTCCCCTGATCCTCCACACCATTCTTCCCTCGTCCTTCCAACCATTCCCAGGCCCCTCGTCCTCCCTACAAATTCCCCACTCCCTCGTCCGATGCCTTTCCAAATGATCTATGCTCCCATCACTGAAAAATAAGACTAACAGTAAGAAAACTAAATGAAAACCAATGAAAAAAAAATTGCTCACAATGAACAGTATAGTAAACAAAACCAGCTCTTAACAACGCAATGTAAAATTAAAAAAAATGAAGATTGAGAAATATGAAAATTCTATTTATCAAGGCAATTTGAAACATTGAAATGGAATCTTAATATTTAGAATATCGTATGTTGCTTTTACATTCAACGGATGGTGCCGTTTAGGAAAAAAGCAAGTTTTTACCCGTCACCGGTGTAGCATGTATAAAGCATGTATATAAACAAGCTCGTAGGCGAATGAAAGTTCTCAAAATTTCAAAGTAATCGGTGAAGCGCTTTCGGAGACTAGCGATTTTAAACACACATTTTTATTTATATAGATGTAGAGTAAAATTCGCGACCTCTTGCATACAACACCAGATTCAGATTTCGCAATACAGTATTAATTTTTTTAGCGACTAAATACTCTAAAATGAAAATATATTTTTACACATTTTAGAGATGGTCAAGACTTACACGTCTACAAGAAACTGCAAGAATTATGTACTACTTAGGTTCACTGCATCAGTCACAGGGCTACCTGGATCAAGGTAATTATTAATATTTCAATAAAAAGAATTTATTTACAGAACCAAATTGTCAATGAATCATCCGTGACAGTTCAATGCCATTTACTCATCTTTGTCTATTCCTCAATTTTCTTAATTTCACTCTTATTTCATACTCTTAGTCAACCTGATATTTCTGATAGAGTAATATTTGCCAGCAATATTCGTAGGCCGTGAAAATACTTTAATGTCTACAACAGAATTGGGGTATATTTTCAGGTTTAATACGGGCCAACACAAACTGTCAGTTCCTACTATATGCCTTTAGTTACTTTTGCAACAGATACGTGTAGAGTATTTAGTCTGCTTGTCGACGGGCCAGTAGGTAAACCCCCCATCAGAAATTTTAATGAAGTAATACCCTTCAACAGAAGGGACATTAGTGAACTAGTCATGTTATGTGGCTGAACTTTGAAAACCACATCACGTACCGGGGCAGAAGTTTACTAATCAAAGTCATTACAGTGTACCGCCGGAACACAACCTCAGTGATGAACCATGTTCCAATAAACAATAATAAATTAGAGAACAGGTTGTAAACAGCCGTATGACACGCGTTGTGAGAACCACTTCAACTTACTTTAGCTATTCGAGAACGCCTTAAAGGAGGAACACAACGCAAGACGTAGTCCACCAGCCAGTAACGCGAACCTCAAACTGTGCCTAGTACCAGGCGACCTGTTCTCACGTCAGTTCGTTCAATCGCCGGTCGTCACCTACGACGCATTCATAAATTTTAACGTATTGATTTAAAAATAATAAATATTATTTGTTCTCATATATAAATTAGTATTATTAATTATAAAATTTCTAGGTATAGTTAGGCATAGGCTCGGTTAGATTGGGTTCTCTTGACGGTTATTAGTATTTAAAGTACATGCGTGAACCATTTACGGAGTAGCGATTCGAACAGAAATCGTCAGCTAACCAACCCGTCCTCGACTCAAGTCCATTACATTCAGCGGTCAACCCCACAGACGCATTCATAAATTTTAACATGCTGTTCATTCAAAACGGGAATTTTCTCAAGTATAAATTAATATTATAATATATTAGCATATTGTGTATATATAGGCATAGGATAGGTTAGGTCAGGTGGTTAGGTTCTGTTGGCGATTATTTGTATTTTTAGTACGTGGGTGAAGCATTTATAGCGTTGTGATTCGAACAAAATTCGTCAGTGAAGCACTTGTTCCGGATATGTTCGAACGTCAGCAGTTGTGAGTCGTGTGTAAAGCGCTTTTCATTCATAAACAGGGGGTTTGGCGGGTGCATGGAATCACTTTTGGATCTTTGTTTGGAGGACGGGCTGAGCTAACAGCCCGTCCTATAAACAAAGACCCAAAAGTGATTCCATGCACCCGCCAAACTCTCTGTTTATGAATGAAAAATGGTTTACACACGACTCACAACTGATTTCGTTCGAACACTTCCGGAACAAGTGCTTCACTAACGAATTTTGTTGGAACCACAATGCTATAAATGCTTCCCCCACGTACTGCAAATACAAATAAACACCAACAAAACCTAAACACCTAACTTAACCAATGTGCACCATATATGTGAATAAGGTTGTAGGAGGGTAGTGGAGTAGGTGGTGACAGTGGGAGGTGGGCACTATATGCATGTATAAGGTTGTAGCAGGATGGGAGTGCAGGTGGCAACAGTGGGAAGTGTGAACCATATGCATGTATAACGTTGTTGCAAGGTTGTGGTGCAGGTGGTGACAGTAGGAGTGGTGTACCATATTCATGTATAACGTTGTGGACATTGGGAGGTGTGCACCAAATGGATGCATAACTTTGTGGCAAGGTTGTGAGGCAAGTGATGACATTGGGAGGTGTGCACCATACGCATGTATAAGGATGTGGCAGTGTAGGGGTGCAGGTGGTAACAATGAGAAAAGTGCATCATATGCATGAATAAGGTTGTGACAGGGTGTGGGTGCAGTTGATGAAAATGGTAAGTCTTCACCATATGCATGTATAAGGTGGTGGTAGGGTGGTGGTGCAGGTGGTGACCGTAGGAGGTGAGCACCATATGCATGTATAAGGTGGTGGCAGGGTGGTGGCGGTGCAGGTGGTGAAAATAGTAAGTGTTCATCATATGCATATATAAGGTGGTGGCAGGGAGGTGATGCAGGTGGTTAGAGTGGGAGGTGTATACCATATGCATGTATAAGGTGGTGGCAGGATGGCAGTGCAGGTGGCAACTGTAGGAAGTGCACCACATGCATGTTTAACGTGGACGCAGGGAGGATACACGTGGTTACATTGGGAGGTGGTGGTGTATACCATATACATGTATAACGTGGACGCAGGGAGGTACACGTGGTTACATTGGGAGGTGTATACCATATACATGTATAAAGTTGGCAGAGTGGTGGTGCAATTGGTGACAGTGGGAGGTGGACACCATTTAAATGTAAGGATTTGGCAGAGGGAGGGTACAGGTAGTGACAGAAGGAGGTGTGCCTCACATTCATGCATAAGAATGTGGCAGTGTGGTGGTGCAGATGGTGACAGTGGGAGGTGTGAACAATATGCATGTGTAAAATTGTTTCAGAGTGTTGGTGCAGGTGGTGACAGTGGGAAGTGAGTATCGTATGCATAAAGAAGGTTGTGGAAGGTGGGGGGGTTGCAAGTGGTGACGGTGGGAGGTGTGCACAATATGCATGTATACGAATGTGGCACGGTACTGGTGCAGGTGGTTACAGTGGGAGGTGTGCATCATCTGCATGTATAAGGTTGTTACAGAGTGTGGGTGCAAGTCGTGACAGTGAAAAGTGTGCTCCATATGCATGTAAAAGGAGTGGCAGGGTTGTGGTGCCGGAGCTGACATTGGGAGCTGTGCATGTATACGGTTGTGTCAGAGTGGGAGTGCAGGAAATGACAGTTGGAGGTGTGCAGCTTATGTATCAATAAGGTTGTAGCAGGGTAGGGGGGCAGGTGGTGACAGTGGGAGGTGTGCAACATATGCATGTATAAGGTTGTTACAGCGTGTGGGTGCAAGTAGTGACAATGGGAGGTGTGCATAATATGCATATATAAGGTGACGGCCAGGTCTGGGTACCTGCTTGATGGGGTTCTGGGAGTTCTGCTACTCCCCAAGCCCGGCCTTAGGCCAGGCTTTACTTGTGAGGGTTTGGTCCACCAAGCTGTTATTTGGAGCGGCCCGTAGGCCCACGTATCCACTACAGTCCGGTTGGTCCGGAACTTTTTTTAGAAAACAGTCTAGTTTCCTCTTGAAGATGTCCACGGTTTTTCCGGCAATATTTCTTATTGTCGCTGGGAGGACGGTGAACAACCGCGGACCTCTGATGTTTATATGGTGTTCTCTGATTGTGCCTATGGCACCTCTGCTCTTCATTGGTTCTATTCTGCATTTTCTTCCAGATTGTTCACTCCGGTACGTTGTCATTTTACTGTGTAGATTAGGGACCTGGCCCTCCAGTATTTTCCATGTATATATTATTTGGTATCTCTCTTGTCTCCTTTCTAGTGAGTACATTTGGAGAGCTTTGAGACGATCCCAATAATTTAGGTGCTTTATCACGTCCATGCGTGCCGAGTATGTTCTCTGTATTCCCTCTATTTCAGCAATCTCTCCTGCTCTGAAGGGGGAAGTGAGTACTGAGCAGTACTAGAGACGGGACAACACAAGTGACTTGAAGAGTACAACCATTGTGATGGGATCCCTGGGTTTGAAAGTTCTCGTAATCCATCCTATCATTTTTCTGGCTGACGCAATATTTGCTTGGTTATGCTCCCTAAATGTTAGATCGTCGGACATCATTATTCCCAAATCCTTGACATGCTGTTTTCCTACTATGGGCAGATTCGATTGTGTTTTGTATCCTGTATTATGTTTCAGATCCTCATTTTTGCCGTACCGGAGTACCTGGAATTTATCACTGTTAAACATCATGTTATTTCCTGCTGCCTAATCGAAAACTTTGTTGATATTTGCTTGTAATTTTTCAATATCTTCAGCAGAGGTAATTTTCATTTGATTTTTGTGTCATCTGCAAAGGATGACACGAAGCTGTGACTTGTATTTTTGTCTATATCTGATATGAGAATAAGGAACAGCTGTGGTGCAAGGACTGTACCTCGAGGTACCGAGCTTTTAACTGCGTTTTGACTCGATTTTATTTGATTGACTGTTACTCTTTTTGTTCTGTTCGACAGGAAATTGAGTATCCAGCGTCCTACTTCACCAGTTATTCCCATTGACCTCATTTTGTGTGCTATCACCCCATGGTCACATTTGTCGAATGCCTTTGCAAAGTCTTTGTACACAACATCTGCATTTTGCTTTTCTTGTAAAGCTTCAGTGATTTTGTCATAGTGGTTGAGTAACTGTGACAGACATGATCTTCTTGCTCTAAATCCATGTTGACCTGGGTTGTGTAGCTCATTATTTTCCATAAAACTAGAAATTTGATTCCTAATCACTCTTTCAAAAGCTTTTATTATGTTTGAGGTTAGTGCAACTGGTCTATAATGTTTTGCCAAGGCTTTACTACCCCCTATGTGCAGCGGAGTTAATCTGCAGATTTAAGTGCAGCTGGTATCTCCCCTGTATCCAGGTTCTTTCTCAATATTACGCTGAGTGCTCAAGCTACTGGTACTTTACATTTCTTTATGAATATTGAATTCCATGAGTCAGGCCCAGGAGCTGAGTGCATGGGCATATTGTCAATTTCTCTTTCAAAGTCTTCCGAGTTCGTGTTAATATCCGTTATATTGTCTTCAGCTTGATTGTCATTCATAAAGAAGCTGTCTGGATCATCAACTTTCATGTTGTTTATTGGTATGCTAAACAAAGCCTCATACTAGCTTCTTAGAATTTCACTAATTTCTTTGTTGTCCTCTGTATAGTTACCTTCAGTTGTAATTGAAGGTCCAATACTGGTCGAGGTTTTTGATTTTGCATATATGATTTTTTTTTGAGGATTTTCTTTATCTTTATTCTTGTATACCTCTTGTATAGCTTTCTGTTCCAATTCTATTTCCTCAGACTCGTACGATCGCTTCAACGTTTGTTCTATTTCTTCGATCTCACTGTTTAGGTTTATTTTCCTTTCTTGTGATAGTCGTGTCTGTCTAAGCATTTCCGTTTTTTTCCTTTTCCTGTACAGTCTTCTGCGTTCACTTTCTAGAGTGGTCCTTTTTCTGACCCTCCACACAGGAACGTGCTTCAGGCAGACCTTGTATACTTCAGCTGTCAATTGAGCTCTGTGTGGGAGTTTTGTCGCTTAAGACCTTCTCTCATTGATTGTTTGCAAGGTCTACATTTATTTTTTCCAGATGATTCTCTTATTGTTGAAATTGAATTGACTGAATACTCCTTTTCGCTTGTTGGGTCTCTTAGATCTACTACCGTTATTTATGCCAGTTCGCAATTCAATTAGCTTATGGTCTGAGTATGTAGTATCTGAGATTGTAATGTCTCTGATTAGTTCATCATTGTTTGTGAATAACAAGTCTAGTGTGTTTTCCTTCCGAGTTGGTTCTGTAATCTGTTGATTGAGCGAGAATTTGTCACAGAAACTCAAAAGTTCTCTGACCTCTGGGGTGCAGCTGGTGCTGGGGTGCAGGTGCAGCTTCTCTCTCTGACTCTGGGCTGCAGGTGGTGACAGTGAGATGTGTTTACATATGCATGTATTAGGTTGTGGCAGAGTGGTGGTGCAGGGGGTGACAGTA